GGGGCCGGGGGCTCACCGGGAAACCTCGCCTCACGGTCTGCTTTTACAGGAGTACTTCTCCAGTCTAAGGGCAAACGATCAAAGGTAACGGGAAAGCTTCGTCGAGAGTGAAGTGATTTAATTACTATTGCCGTAATATGGGCACCCTACCTAGGGATGTGGTTAGGCTCGCGCCCGGAGCGTTCTCTCGGTACGGTTTTACTTCTCAGGTGCGACTCCCTGCCTGAGCTGCCGCCAGTCGCAGCCCGGTGCCCCCGTAGGTAAGAGTGAGCCTGCCCGGCGAGGCGCAATGGCTCTCAAGCGGTGGCTCGTCCAGGTTGGCTTCGGCCAGCTCAGCGGGACGCGGACTCTGTTCTCTTGCCTGGTGAAGAGGTGGCGGTCCCCGAGCTCGGCCCAGCTCGGCGGCTGCCTGGGGAGTTGCTCTCCGGCGGGTCTCTGGGAATGGCCTGTGTCAGCTTCAGCACCTCTCGGAAGAGTTCTTCTGGCCCGACGTCTCTGACTGATTTTAAGAAAATTAATGAGCAGTATTATGTTATTTTGTTGGTCTATCTCTGGGAAAGGTAGCAGGTGGAGAGGTAAACTTTTAACTTGTGCAGTTAGAACAATATAATTGGTTGCATCCTAGGTTTTATGTTGGTTTTATTTGGGTTTTTTTTTTTTACACTTAATGTGGGTGTTGAAATCAGTAATTTCTGAGGTTTATTAATGTGCCAAATCCTTGAAAGACATCTGTTCAAAAGTTGCCATTAGCTACTCGGATCTACAATAATATTTCTGTAGAACTTCTTGTATTTTAAAGCATAACTATGGTTAGTCAAGTGTGTTACTGTATTATTTATTTCAGGTATGTGGGCACATTCAATGACAGCTCAAGATTACCAGGATCTCATAGACAGAGGATGGCGAAGGTAAATTTAAAAAGAAAATACACAGCCGTGTTGTCAGTTTAGATACAATTTAGAATCCAGATCAAAAATTTAAGTCTGTGAAAACAGTTAACTGGTTTCCATAAGTAATTAAAATAGAAGTATTTGTCCAGTACTCTCTGACCTTTTTGTAACATGACACTGTTGAACAGGAAAATGTTTGGTTATTTTTGAAGGACAGTATTTTTAGTATAGCAGCAAAAAGCTGAAGAACTTGCTTCTCAACTTTTGTTACTCTTCGTATAATATTGTGATATTATTTCAACAAAAAAGGTTGGCCTTTCATTTAGTTTGCAGTATAAGCAACAAAAAATCAACACATATTTATTATTATTTTTAGAAGTGGAAAGTATGTCTACAAACCCATCATGAATCAAACGTGTTGTCCTCAATACACAATAAGGTAAGAAGCTTGAAATATGCTGCTGTAAATGATTTCACTGCTTCAGATATGTTCAGCCATTTGTGTTTACGGCTTTAAATACAGAATACTTGAAATGTTTATGTACTTTTAATGATACTTTGAATGCTAAATATACGCTGTTGGGTTTGTGCATAGGCACATCAGCGGCGCCATGGTGTTTTCCTGCAAGCAATCTACTGATTGCATACCCTTCCCCTTTGCTTCTGGGTTGCAGTCTAAAGCAAGAGTCCTGTGATTGCTCCCTTGCTCACAGGTTGCCGGTGAACCCGTGTGTCTGTATCCCACAAACAGTGCTCTAGTAGCCCAAATAAGACAGGCCGTCAGTTGGATAAGTATGAATATTATAGATACACTTTTCTGGCATTAGTAGTTAGTATCAATGCTGTATCTATAAAACACATAAGTGAAAAATTCTGGTGTATTAGCCTTCTAGGAAGCTTTTTTGAGGTCATCTTGGCATATTTTAGTGATTATAGTGATAGACACACAGCACATGCCATAATAATGCAGTACAAGGCAACATAATTTTAATAACTCAAAAGTGTTGATAAAATATTTGACTGCTTAATATAGGGAAACTTAAGAAATAATTAGAAAAATACAGATACAGTTTAATTTTTTAAAAGTGGTTCCTTAACATTTTTTTCTGCAATAATTTTTCACCAAAAAAATTGTCTTTTTTCTTTTTAAGATGCCAGGCTTTGTGTTTTCAGACCTCCAAATCTCACAAGAAAGTTCTGAAGAAAATGCTGAAATTTATTTCCAAAGGAGATGTTTCAAAAGCAGTGAGTGAAGGTAAGAAATTCTTAGTGTTTGAAAACAAATACTGATGTTTGAAAGGAGGATCAAGTACCTGCTTGAGTGATTGAATGGCTAATACACTTTGATTTGTGTATATAGACCCCTTCATAAAGGTTTGTGTAGGTTGTGTCTCTACAGTGTGTTTTAAATAAAGAGCACTATGTAGCCCAGAGACCAAATTGTGCATCCGACTTCCTCTATTGAAGAATATGTTTCTTTACTTTTAGTATAGACCAGCTTATTTTCTTTTCAATCTCTGGACACGGGCTTGCTTTCTAGCTGGGTGCTGTGGAGAATTAGACCCTGTTTTTACCTCCGTCATAAAGTGATAATCTGGAGAGGACTAAGCAGGACAGATGAGTGGCAGAAAGAAGGAGGAGCAAGCAGGGGAGAGGGTTTTTCTTCCAGCTGATTGAACAGTGACCCCTCATTTATCCAACACCAAAACCAGCTATTCTCAGTTGTGGTGGACCTTGTTGTGTTGATTCTGAACCATTATAATTTGCCTTGTGTATGTGTGTGTGTTAGGGGTTTTTTTGTTTGTGTTTGGCTTTCTTTTTTGGTCATGGTTTTTGTTTGAAGTTATGGCATGAGATCAGTTGACTACCCCAGTTCAGTGGAGAAAATAAAGCTGTTCTCATAAATGAGTTGGTGCTAGTAATTCAGGGTCATAAAGGAAGCTTTCTGTTTTCAGACTATTGCAAACAGTCGCTTTTTCTGTTGGAAAACAGCTGTAAAATTGGAAATTAATTAATTTAATGTTAATTGTACAAAGTGTGACCTGTGGTTATACAGGGTGAAATTCACTCATGCAGTTTCTGATTGTTTACAGAAGAGCCTATGGATTCCCATGTAGAGGATGCGGTTGCGTGTGATTTTGCATACAAAAGTGAATCTCATGTCAGTCAGTCGGAACTGACTCCCTTGAGTATGGATCACACTGAGAAGGTGGAAAATGAAGATAAGGACACAGGAAAAACAAAAGAAGACGTGAATAAGCAGAAGGTGGAATCGGGTTCTCTTCCACTCTGTGCAGATAAAGACATGCCAGTCCCTGGAGAACCGTCACGTTCGGCTAAAATTGTTCATGCACTGCCCAAGCCAGGTAGTAAAATTTCTGTTGGTAATTGGAATATACTGTCATGATTTCTCATGTTGCTGATGTCCTTCTTTTTAACTTGCCTAGGAAATCAAGAACTCTTTTTATTCCTTATACTATTCCCAATTTATGGATTTATAGTGTATAAGTTGAGAGGTGCTGCATGTTACTTGTTTTCTTGTTTTTTTTTTTCCTGAAAGTTGCATTGATTTTTCATTATATATTTTGGGGTTTATTTTTTTTTAGTTTAGTTCTTGAGAATACACATCTCCAGCTGACAGTTTCTGTAAGCTATTTAGACTGCAGTCAGATAGGTCAAGGTGATCGAATCTCATCAGACACTGGGACCGGTTTCCAGTTTGGGATACTTTCGTGTGCAGAATAAGACGTACATCCATCTTTCACTTTCTTCTGTGGGGTGTGGTGACTCGGGCTTTATGTGCCTTGAGATATGGTTGCGCAAGACTAAGCTGGATACAGCTCTGGCTGGTACTGCAGGAGTGCTAGTTACTGAGTTAGGCTAAGGCTTAACGTCTCTTGTGCAACAGTGGGAAACCCGTTTAAGACCCAACAAAAACACCTGAGGTGATGTTTTTACATGTCTTAATTTCTGCAGGTCATCTTGTTGTTACACAAATTGTGTTGCTTACACCCTGTGAATACACCCCAGTAAATAACTTGTTTAAGACTATTTTTTTACACTTTCATAGACTATTTGCCACAGACCTAACTGGCGCTGGAAATATGTTCAGTATATAGTTGTGTTTTCTTTAAGCATATTTTGTATGCTTAAAGAAAATTGTATCACTTTCTGCTAATATGAAAAAAAAAAAAAAAGAAAAAACCCCAGATTCTTCTGGCCCTTTATAAAGAATAAAACTTTTTCATCAGTTTGGGAGCTGCCTTGTTTTACCCAAGTATCTTTAGATTACAAAAACAGTGTCACTAGAGGATGTGAAATTAGGAAAAGCTGTAGTAATTCTTCCTTTTTTTTTTCTTTCTGTGAACTTAATACTACATTTCTGTAAGGAAATACAGTAAATATGTACAAGAAGTAAGGCAATATCCCTTATTTTACTTTCTGATGCATTTATATAATGCTACAGCTCTCAGGTGCCAGGTAGGTAAATGCTTATTCATTTCTACAGTTCCGTGTGAAAGTACATGGAATAGTGGTGGCATTTTTAATATAATAATATTAATAATTTTAGTATACTAATTTTAATAGTACGGTCACTTTTTTCAATATGGAAGTTATCCCTCTGTCAAACTTTTGAATCGTAACTGTAAAGATTTCTGAAATGCTGCCTTTGGGCTGAATTCGAACATGAAATCTTCTTCCTAAAAAAGGATAATCTCATTGTCAGTCATCTGACTGTAATCTTTTTGTGTGATAGCTGTTATGGTACCCCTTGCTGTGGCATGGGAGCCTGGAATCTACATCTGCTTGCAGTGGTGGTATGCTTTTCACATAGCTTGTTGTAACAGGGAAGACCATATGTGAGAGCTGGTGGGTGATCTCCTGCGTGATGTAATCATGCAGAGGAGTCCTTGGGGGTCCTCGAGGGAAACAGAAATGCTGGAAACTGCTGCTACCAGGATGAGTCCAGAATGCTGTGGGTTGCCTTTCCTATGGCTTCTCTTGAGTCCTGGCTGCGTTCTGGTGGGACATGGGCGATTTCTGGAAAGAAGATGGTAAGGGGTGGATGAATTATTGCCAGAATAATTCATTTGACCAACAGCCTGCACTGGAAAAGAAGGTAGAATTGCTGACAGACTCTTCATGGCCCAGAGGCTGCAGATGAGGCAGCCTTGTCTTACAGATCATGTTTCCAGTTTTGCATAGCGTCTATAATGGCTTGTTCAGAAAAATAAAAGGTATTTCTGAATTGCAGTTAGCCAATACATGGCAAGTAATGTTAGTTAAAATCCTAGTGAAGACTGGGTATGTTAGAGTTTCTGCATGTGTTGGGACGTCATACTAATTCCTAATTTCACTCTCCTATTACATGTTGTGCCAGTATTTATAAGAACTTCAAAGTACTTTTTCCTTCATAAAGGTTTTTGTCTCTTTCTATAGGTTGGCTAATTTAAAGTAATTATGGAAGGCTCATTCAGATTAGTTCAGGTTTTCACTAGCTTAACAAGGAATTTTGCATCTAAACAAAAATGAAAGTTTTCAGAAATGCTTCATCAGAAAATCAGCAGTGGAGCATAGAAGCAGTACTGTTACACGTTCCTGGAAAACTTGTCTAGAATTTTTAAGGCTGTATTTTTGATTCTGTGAAATGCAGTCAGAACTTTTATAGCCCTCATCTAGTTTATAGCTTATATAATTTGTATTTGTTGTACAGAACCCTCTTGGTTTTTAAATAATTAATGAAAAACTTTGGGTTATGTAAACTTCATTTTGGAAGCAAACTAAGTGGACCTTGACAGCAGATGGCAGTCTTGGGTAAAGATTATGGGTGTAAAGTTGCCATTGTTTTGAAAAAGGTTGTGGTAGGGTCTTCAGTTATGTTAAGAATAACATGGGTAAAACTTTAAGCACTGGAGATGCAGGTAAAGAAAGCTTGAACACTGTACTGTGTTTCAGAAAAGGAGCGTTTACTTCTAGAGAGGAGAAATATTCAGTAGTGTGCCTCTTTCTGGAGGTTTTAAATGAAATATAAAAGTGAATAATAAATGCATCAGAAAGTTTGTTTAATTTTTAATTTTTTCTTTTTAGAGTAGGTGGTGTCACAGGTCAAATTTAGTTTAAAGTTTTCCAGATAGAAAGTAGTTTAGTTTTCATCTTGGAAAATGTAGAGTCATTCTAAAACAAGATTGTTTAATTGCGTTTTTGTTCCTTTATAAACAAAACAGGTCATTGTCTTATAGGAATAATGGGCTGTTTCTGCACAGTTTCAGCTAGAAAAGAAGGTTTGCTTATGTCTGTACGCACATTCATTGTTTTAAGAAGTTTTTCTTGCTAACTTACAGCTTGTAGAAGATATGAGACATGAAACAGATCCAGATGCAAATGAAATACTCATTCTTCAAATGTATCATGAGTATTTTAAATAAATTATTTTTCTGACTTGTTTGCCCATGGACAGGTCACATAGTATCTGTGATTTCCTCATAATATTGTCCTTTTCTGGTGAATAATTTTAGCTGTATGGATGAAACAAATACTCAGAAACCTTAGCTGAGAGGTAAGAACATTCAATCATAAAATCTGCTAGTGTCATTGTAGGTTGTGTGAAGAGCACCAAAGTGGCATTAGCTCCTTTTCTAAGCATCTTGAGATACAGAGCATCTCAGGATGCTCTCAACATTTCAGCTGTCATGGAGTATGTGGAGAAACCAGACTGGATCTTTTCTGGGTGAGCCACAGAGACCTCGCTGCTAACTTGCCCCAGGAATGCACTTATAAACTCTGTGAATTCTGTATGGTATGCACATTAAAAATAATAGTTTACAGCCTTACTGATACTTAAAAGTTTATCCTAATACAAAGTCGTTTGCCAATTTCTATGATATATCTATTGGTAAAGAAAGATGCAGGCTGTGACTCTGAGGGCTGCAATTCTTTGCAGGTGAAGTGACTCTAAACACATCAGTGAGCTCTTAAAATATCAGTGCTCTCACCATTTCCAGTTTGCAGAAGGATATCACTGTTTTCCTTGTCCATGGAGACAAGGACCTGTGGTTTGAAGCAGGTAGAGGACAAGAAAGATGTCACTTTTGGCTAATAAGTTACTAGTAAGAAGAAAGAAAGAAGAGGAAAGAAGGCTCTAGTTACATTTGCATAGGAGTTCTGGAAAAAAGAACTTCCATGTAATTTCCAGGCCTCCAAGACAGTAAAGTGGGATAAACTGTAGTTAAGTCTGGGTTTGGATTCTTCTTTATTTTTCATAAATGTTAACAGAGTTGGCAAGGTGTCATCTTCCTAATGCTTTGAATGAAAGCGCCTAAAATGAAAGCACCTTCAAATGAAAGCACATTCAGGGTGCTTTCCCGTTTGAAAAGGTAAGTCTTTCAAAAGTTACCAGTATGTCTTTTGCAAATACATGGATTTCAGGAGAAAGCTAATGGCATAGAAGACTTCTTCAGCAGTTTGTCATAATATTTGTTACAGGTTTTGTTCTGTGCAAGGTATATGAGTGTATTTCCCTATAGGGGAGTAGGTTTTTTCCACTCTTCCTCTCCTTTTGAATTTTTTATTACAGCTCTTTTGGCCTCCAACTCATCTACCACTGCCTTAAAAAAAAAAAAAAAAAAAAAAAAAAAGAGAGAGAGAGAAGTAGAGTTACTTTATATAACATTAGCTAGCTGCTGATGAAATTTTGCGTGCAACTTTCCTTTGCTATGGAACTTGGAACAGCAGCTGCCAGGCTGAGACAGGTATTCCTTGAAAATGCTTATGCCTACCACCACTGCTTCCAGCACACAGTTCTTACACAGCTTCTAGGGTGAGGTATGGTCGTCAGTTACTTGTGTGCACTACATGGAATAGCCACCACCAAGGTACAACACTTAAGGAAAGACGAAAGGCAGCACTGAGAGTGTTAGGAAGATGTTTTTTTGCTTTTTTTAAGTTTTACGAATTTGAATTTATGGATTTACAATCAGTATCGATGAAAATAATACTGTCTAGGGAAATTGCTACTTGTAAGTACAATATTTGTTTGGTAACCATCCTTTCAGTGCATTTGGTGGGTAGTGTGGAGACCAGCCATCTTTTTTTTTTTTTCCTTCTTAATTGAAGAAAATTCTATGTTAATTTTTCTAGTACTGGCATTCTTATATCTTGACTTTTTATCTTACATTATTGTCCTAACTATACAATTAATCTGGTCCTTTCACGAGGAATTTGGACCAATCTACTTTTTATTTGTGCATGTCTTTGGATTTATATTCCTTTAAAACTAAGTTCTTGTAGTACGAATTACTATTTTCCATGCTGATTTGTTTTCTAGGTTTGACTTCTCATTTTAAGTAAATAGCATTTCACAAATAGAACATTATAAACAGTTGACCACGTAAATTGATAAAAGGAGGTAAATTGATAAAAGTGAATTGATTAATACAAACAGACAATCTGAATACAATTTTAAGCAAAGGTGTGAGCTTATGTAGTCTTTTACTCTTCTTTTGCGTGACAGCAAAACGTGACCAGCACTAATGGTGCTGGTGTTCGCAGCATTTCTATACATTCCATGAGGATTCCAGGTGACAAAAAATAAATGGTTTTTTTCTTTGTGTGTCTTTTATAGGAGTCTGTTGTGTAGCCACCTGGATTTTAATGCAATAGAACAATTCTCTGAATTTGGCTACGAGGTTTTGTGGTTGTGTTTTTTTCCTTTCAGTATTTTGAAGCTGATCCTGTAGCTGTTTGGATATAGTACACCAGCATACCTTACATTAAACAGGAGCTTTTCTTTCTTTCTGAGAGGTGGATGTGGCAAAATGATTTAAGGATAGGCTTAGCAGGAAGTCTTTTAATGTAAAAAATAAAATGTAACTTTGGCTCTGGAATGGAAACATAGTCAGGGTGTTTCCATATTAAACTGCTGCATTAAACAGCTGTCGAGGAAAAATTATTGCAACTTAGCTTGGCATTAGATGTTGTTGGTAGTTGTATATGGGAAAGAAATGTTATATTCAGACTATGGTCTGCAGTTAATGGTGATTTTAACCATTTCTTTTCAGTGACCAGGTGGGAAATACTTGTTTGTTACAAAACATGGTGTTTAATTCTTTGTGCCTTTGCAGGCAAAGGGGCTGACTTGAGCAAGCCACCGTGTCGAAAAGCAAAGGACATACGGAAAGAAAGAAAACTGCAGAAACTCCTTCAGAACCAGATGTGCACTTTTGAAGGCTCTCCGCTTCAAGCAGGAGATCAAGTTTTCCTCTTGCAAAACTCTCAATCTAAACCAAACCAACCTAAAACCATTGAAGACTTTGTTTTTGTCTCTTTACCTGATGATGCAGCACACAAATTAGAGGTAACATCTCGTTCACTGTTGTTGGAGGCAAATTAAAGAGAAGTCTAGTTAAGGAGTTTTTGAAATGCTTAGGTGTCTAGTGTCTGTGACTTCATGGAATGGTTATAATTTAAATCTTGGAATACATGTGGTACTGCATGATACATTTATGGTGCAGCTGAGCTGTATGTAACCGCAAGAGGGTACTCTTGCACTTGCAGTCAGCTGTAGCAGAGCCAAGTACAGTTACCAAAGTAACTTGTAAATTGATTTCATACAGTGTGACTTGAAAATGAAAGACTCTGAATTAACTCAGTGTTGAATGATGAGAGAGATTCAATATTTAGTTCTGCAGTATAGAAATACTTAAACTATCTATGCTGGTGAATCGTGACAAGAAAGCAGTAACTTCATAAAATTAAACAGATAAGAAGATAGCTGCTCCTTATAAACATCATTCATATGTGTTGATGTCTTTGGAAGCTGCGAAAGTGATGGTAGAAAATTTTACTTGGTCTAATGGTTGTCATTAGACCTATTAGTAATATACAGGCAGTCATCTGGAAGGCTTTTGGACTTTCTAACATTTGTTAATCATAAAACCTTTTTCTTTTTTCTGGAAGCTGGAAAACTATCTGAATATAAGTATTTTCCTGTAGTTACTGATTATCAATGGATATTGATATTATTGGAAATTAATTTTTTAATATTCTTTTAGTAATTATTCAAAGGGCTAGTGACGATGATTTAAAAGATTCACTGAATAACTGACAGGAAGCCATGAAACTGATCCATCTCACGAACTCACCCAGATTTTCTTATGAGCTGTAGAACAGAAGTATGATGGCTTTGTCTGAACATCTTCTAAATGAAGATGCAGGAAGATTTAAAAGGAGGATGGTTCCAGCAGTGTTTTCCCAGACTGTATTTGCTCCTTACTATAGCTGTCAATTGTGGGGTTTTTTTTGTTTTTGTTGTTTTTTAAATAGATCAGAACTACTTGTAAAAATAGAACCATACTGAAAATTATGTGGTTTTTTTGAAATGAACATGTCCTTAAATATGCTTGAAAAGAAATGCTGTGTTGCTCATGTGATAGCATTCTTTTCGGTAGGGAGCAATCATTTTTACGAACAACAATTTTAAATTTATAAATAAAAAAAAAACTTTTTTTTGTGGGGGTTTTAAGAGTGATGGGGAATACAGGTAACTTCCTATTACAATTAACTCATAACTGAATATGGAAACATTGTTTTGTCTTCCTCTTTCAATCTGAAAAGTACCAAGAAATCCCCTTGGGATTATTGCAATAAAAACATGGTCTTTAGATAAAGCGCACAGATCTGAGTCTTCCAAATGCATGGGTCCTTCAAGTATTTCCTGTACAGTATGAAACTACAAGAGAAGATTTTAAAAAGTACAGAAAAGCTCTTTAAAATGTTGGTTGGCATAACCATTTGTTGGTATTATTTCCTAAAAACTATTTATGTCGCTCTTCTGTAGGCATTTTAGTTATCCTAGTTTGCAGTTTGAAAACCTTGTATGTTATTCAGTGTAAATATAAAAGCCTTCAGTAGCCTAAATTGAACTGAAGAATTGGAAGGCTATTGGCTTATATTGATTAGATTGTTAGGGCCCTTATGCATGAATTCAAAATTTCTCTCTGTTGTGATGTTTGTATATCTATAAATATACAGTTATTGCATGATAGTGTAATAATGAATGTGTTTAACTTCTTCTGAAGGTGAGGGTGGTGAGATCATCTCCACCAAGTTCACAGTTCAAAGCCACATTTCAGGAGTCTTACCAGGTCTATAAACGTTACCAGATGGTTATTCACAAGGACCCACCTGATAAACCAACTATAAATCAGGTCAGAAGGCCAAATTAATTTTATGTAATGCTCAGCTTCCCCTCCATCTCGTGTCTTGTTTCTAGGAGAAACAAATGTGGATTTGATATCCATTGTATATTCAGGAGCATGTAAAATACCGGATCAAATAAAATCAACATCCTGGAAGTGCAAACTCTTTTGATATCTCTTTGTGAGTGCCACAAATATTTGGTCTTAGTTGCTGACAGAAAGTTAAGGAAGTTACACAGGGATGCTATTGAGGAAGAAATGGAGAGGATGAGGCTTTTGGAGGTAGATGTAGGCCTTATAAATCCAAATCTTGTAAGAACTAAAACCAGTGGGACACTTAGCTTGATAACTAGTCTCATTGGCTTTGGTTTGAATGCTGCCATAAGGAGGAACAAGCATGATCAAGGCCAACATGCGAGTGAAGAATTTATCACACATACAAGTTGTCAGTTTAAGGTTCACTGAAGTTTTGTAAACCTCTTCACTTTCAATTTAAGCCCTTCAAGAAGTAATCTGTGCACTCCCATCTAAATTACACATCATTACTGCTTCTTGTAATGACCAGGCGGTGTGTAATATTTAACTGTCAGACATATTACTTCTCTAATACTAAAAAGAAAATAATTCAGGAATTTGGAGGAAAAGTATATGTAGCAAGAATATGTAATTGCTAAACCAGGGCAGTGAGTGATGTACCATTAAGAACAATACATTTTAAAAGTTCTTGAGGCTGTACAATGAAAATAAAGTATGTGGCTGATTTGATAAGTAATGTGGTCAAAAAATAGGTTTTTAGTTTTTATTCTTTAATGAAAGGATGAACAGTTAGTTTAAGCTTAGTGTTAGTTGTTAGACTTCCCCCTGCAGGAGGTTTTCTTGTTACCGCGTTTAAAGTAGAAAACTGGCTTCAGAGGCTTTGAAGTGGATAGGAGGAGATCTTTCACTAGCCTTACCTTCAGAAGCATATTATCTGATTATATGCACTCAAAATAGTATGCTTGTATTTTCCTTGCTCTGAAGGTGAGGTTAGTACCTGTCTCCTTTGAGGACCCCCAGTTCAAATCATCCTTCAACCAGTCAGCCACTTTATTTGCCAAGTATCAGATGGCTATACACAAGGATACACCTTCTGACTGTGGAGAAAATGAGGTACAGTTCACTGCATGCACCTTTATGAAAACATTTTTTTAATGCACAGTTAAATGATGTGAAATGGTGTCTCTTGGAGGGATTCTAAATATTAAAATATTGGAGTCTCCGTTTTGGAGGGAAAGTGTCGTGGTTTTTAGCAAGCTTCTGTTGCAGGCTTCAGCCCAGGGGAAACTGAGCTGAGAGAGAGGGATTATGCACCATCGTAACTAAAAAACTAATGTTAGCAATGAGTTAAGGAGAGCTGCTGTTTGTACATGATTTGTAAAGAGCTCTGGGATTGAGATTGCCACTGGAAATGGTGTAATGGTATGGAAGTGCTTTTTGATGGCAAAAGCATCTCCCTCTTTAAAGTTGTTTGGTGCCTTTTTCCACATTTGTCCTTAATTTTTTTGTGGTCTTGCTTGATTTAACAGGTGAAGGCTTTAAAAATCTGTTTTACTCACATTTCATCGCTAAGCGTACGTTTCAACTAGAACTCGCCTTTGCAGCAGAAATAGGGCAGAAATATTCCCGCTACCCGATTGTCTGAGATTCAATGAGAGCACATTGCTTATGAATAAAGCCTGCTTTTAAATTGGTGTTTACAGGATGCCAATCCTAATCTAATAAGAAAAAAAGAAAAAAAAGAAGGTACTTGTGGGGTTCTAAACAAGCAGCAATTCTCCATTTCTCTGGCAGGTGGCACAACATTTTCATTAGCAGAATTAATAAAACTGCTACCTCAGATCTGTCATTTCTATTGACTGCAAATGTTTGACTTCAATATTGATCAACTATCTAGTCAGACTTTTCTGTTCTTGAGAGCAATACTTGCAGAAGTGATACCTAGCAAGCTGTGGCTGCTTTCCAGGTAGAATAATAAAACCACATAATCATTTCTGGCTTTAGTTCAAAAGAGTGTAAGGAGAGCTTTTTTGTGAGATCTCTGTAATGCTACTGTGGTAGGCCATAAAATTTAATTCACTCTGTTTTGTAAAATAGTAGGACTCACAACAATAAGTAGTAGTCTCTGCCCTTTTTATAATTACTGACATAAATTGGGTTAATTATAATAATGTAAAAATTGGAAACATGCCAAGAAAGATTAAGCTATTTACTAGATTTGTACCAGGCATTACCTGGTCTGATTAGGGACTTGATTTGTCTGTTATGATGAATGTATTTCAGCCCTAGTGCTTAAATATAGCATATATGCCACCATGCTTTTGCTCTGAAAATCTTGTTGCTGCAGAGAAGGTGGCAAGAACTTCATATATTTACTTTTTCTTTGCTTAGAATTACAATTTTTTTTTTTTTTTAATAAGGTGATTACATCATGAAGAAATGAGGGCAAAATCGTGATGGCTGTTTGCAGTTCGGTTCTGAATAGCAGTTAGCTCTCAGTTCATCTAATCTCTGTTTGGGTCAGAGTGCGTGGTTTGGTGTAGACTTGAGTTTAATCACCCATTGAGCTTTTTCAGTCTGGGGGAGGAAAGCTTATAAAGATTTTGTTAAGGACAGTTCAGGTTTCCACCACCTTGTGGTATAAGGTCTATCACTCCTGTTGTATAGGAAGGAGATGGATTTCTTTTTACTGCTAACAGTTGAAAGGATTTTTATCTTTTTCCTTGTTACTTGCCAGAGTATTTCCCTACTTTGGCTTTATCTTCTCTCTCTGGTGTCATGTGTGTGCAGGCTTAGTATAATATTGCAGGGGAGACATAAGACCTTCTCTGAAGCATCTAGTAAATGTAAAAAGTCAGTCTGATGCTGATGGGTTTTAATTTAGGTCCTTCTTTAGCACTGGTAAATGATGTTGTGTGTTCATGTGAGTATCTGGCTGAGAAGGTCTTTCTATTTACAGTTATCAGGCACTAAAGCTCTTTCACTTCAGTCAAAAACATTTTGTATTTCATCCCTGCAGGAAGTGAACTGAAGAATGCTTTACACAATATGTATTCTGATATTGTTTAGAAGGTTTTTTTATATAGTTATTTTTTGTACTGAATTTTTGTGGGAGGAGAATTATCTGAGTCACTTTTAACAACAGAAGATACTAAGTAGGGTAAAACTGATCCAAGTTACTGAGATGAAGGGTGGAAAATGCTATTTGAAAGACCTCAAACTTTTTCTTCTTCCTCTTTTTCAGACTTTTTAATGTATCGTACAGACATTATGGAGCCAAGCAGTTTTTTATGTAAAGGTAGAATGAAATTCTGTCCTATACATAGGGCTTTTTATCAGGGTAGTAACAAGGCAGCTTTTGGCTTTAAACCGGTAAACATCCAAGAATTTTTCATCTAAAAATTAAATTTCACTTTTAATCTGTGTAAACTAATGTGTGTATGGTGGATGAACACCCTTTCCAGGGAGAGTCCTGCACACTTTTGTGTTTGGAAAGTTTCTAGGTTAGGGAAAAGTATTTAATTTTATGTTTGGCTGAACACTTCAGATTCAGAAACCTGCCTATATTTAAATTCAGAATCCAACAAAAATTATGGGACATACTAACAACTTTTTGGAATATATTCTTACATTGTTGACATTACAATATCCTGTCTGCCTGTATTAGCTGCTAGCCTAGTTTAATATTAACCTTATTACACTAAAAGGCAATTTTAGGAATAGATTTAGAAATTTGGTTATTATTTGAAAAATAACACTAACGTGATAAAACAGTTCACAATGTTAACAAAAGATATGTGAACCCTGAAGCTGATTGTTGCTCAATGAGTGTGAAAGAAGGCCTTCTTTTTGCACCTATGCAATGTCTGTACATCTTTTCATCAGGATTTTATGTGAGAAGGGGGAATAGATAATTTCTAGGACAGAGAATCCACTGAATACTTGACACCAAAGATTTCTTTGAACTTCTAGGCACGCTCTGGTTAGTACCACTTTGAGCCCAGTGATAACTGTTGTTTCAGAGCCCTTCAAGACGGTGGGCCTTTTTGAATTTTGCCTTTCTCTCCTTGCTTTCTCCTCTCCTTCCTCTGAACCTCTGGAGACTGCAGTTGCACTAATAACTGTGTGTTCATTAAAAAGAATTTAGTGTGAAGTTTTGCTGGGGAGAGTCTTGCCATGCATTTTGGTGATGCAGTACTGATTCCTGATGGAGGCAGTGACTTTTGTTTGTTCTAGTAAAAAGCAAGGTAGAAATTTCATAGTGGAATAAATTTTTTCCAAGTCGCAGAGTTGGTGTTACCCCTGCGGTGATGAAACTTTCCTTTTCTATGGAAGCAATCATCACAATCTTCAGTGCCGCTTTCAGTGGCAAGTAGAGGATTTGGTAAGGTAGAAGTATATTTGCTATCTGCCAAATAAGTTAATATTCTAGGAACAGTTTTGAGTATCTCCTTGCTCCTGGAATTAAAACCAGGTTTGCTTGCAAGTGAGAATTTTTCACATCTGTTTTTATCTTGACATAAAAGCTGCTTATTTTCTGCGTAGGCTTTTAAACTCTTGATTATCCCCTTTTCTCCTAGTTTGTCTGGTAGAAATGGAACCTCCCTTTGAAACCTTCTCAACACTCTCAAAAACCTTTGGTCAGTTGCTACAGGATTTCAGCTTCAAAACTGACCTGGTTGTGTCTCTGCTTGGGCATGCTGTCAAGTACTGATGTTATGCAAAGTTGTGGGCATCTAACAATATTTATGTTGGCATGTTTTTATTGAATTGAATTGGTGTCCTGAGTCAAAACATAGCAAATGATTTTTCTAATTAAAGGTTGCCTCATAATACTTGCTCTTAAATAGTGCTGTGGAAGAATGGATTTTTCAGTTTTTCTCTGTGGGAACACAAAACCTTTATTAAGCTGCTATGTAAATGCATAATCATGCACTGTTCTAGTGATACATGTACTCTTATCTTAAAAAGAG